TAACCCAAGGGTTGATAACAGTCGAACAGTTGGCAAAATTTGACCGGGTAAAATCAAGACGCTCGTCTAAACCTCCAAATCAAAGAATGTTTGTGATCGTAGAAGCATAACCTACAGATGGTGAGTTAAGGGGAAACCAATCTCTCTCAATATTGATCATGTAAAGACTTGAATTGGATTTCATGTAAACCTTCAGCTGATCCTTTTATTGTGGAATCCATCGATCTGCCCTCCTTTCTTACTTCTTGAAGAACTCGGAAGAGAAGGATCGAAGCAAATGGCCTTGCCCTTTCATTTGCGCACAACTGAGTCAGTGGAAACAAGTCATTCTCTCAAGCCTTACACTGAATCTCCACCTCAAAGGTTAATCTTCAATCTCCACCTGTGGAGACAGATGACTTGCCTCGACACTTTCCGACGGGTAAATAAAATCAATCGGGAGCACTAGAAAGGTCTCTTGAACTGAAAGATACCCTCTATGAACCTTCAGTATCTGTCGGAAAATGGGATGGAGCACATCATCCCCTGAGTCACCTATGACTATTGGATGAGGTTTTCATTGAATCAATATTAACCCACCTGTGACTTTATTCTGAATAACAACATAAGTTTTTGAAACCAAGTGAATGAAATCCAAACCTAATACTTTTCCCTCAGATGGTTTAGCTTCTTCTGTTCCCTATTCTGCTTCTTTATCCCCTTTTTTCTTTTCTTTAATGTCCCCTTTGAAAGCCAAGTTGTCTTATCAAGTTGTCTCTTTTCATCAGTCTCATCAGAAGTAGCCCACATCTCTTTTGTCATCGAGTAGTATTCCTGGAGATTCAAAACCCGATTAACATTTAAGGGGTTGATATATCGAACCACCGACAATTGTCGCTGAGCATGACCTGCTCCATTGCCTTCACCTGGGAGAAATTACTTTTGTTTTTTTTTTTCTTTTTGTACAAACCACCTATGGCTCTAGTTGAGATGCCCCATTCATTACAAGCACTCTAAAAAAGTGGAGCTTCCAAACTTTTATCTTGTTTTCCAGATCGATTAAATAAATTTTTTCAGTAGTTCCAAAAAACGACATACCCATTCGACTCAACTTGAAGGTAGAAAATATGCAAAATAGTTTGTGCGACCAAGGGACGCCTCATCTGTGCATATAAATCACGTATATCATTACTCCAACAATTGAGTTCAGTTTCACTTAAGCTGTGATAACACCATATAAGTTGAAGATTGAACAAAGCTCGGTACATAGTGATAGTTGAAATCCACAACAAAACTGGTTTCAATAGAAAATCAGATTATCACCTAAGTAGCCAGTGGTTCGGACCTCCTCATCCACTTGCTCTAAGACAACATTTGTGATGTAAACCCGTCTAGTAACCTAATCTCAAACTCAGTAAGGGTTGATCTCTCATAATTTCCGACCAAGCCGAAGATCTAAGGAGGGGGCCTTTGAACTTCAGAAAAAAAATGTAGAGAGATAGGCATAGTTGGAATGATCAAAGTTTCACTTAAGTTTAACCCAATTTATAGGTCCCCCTTTGGATGTCGAAGCACCGCATTGGGTTCCGTCAAAAATTTCATTTCGATACAACAATTAAGAAAAATCATAATTACTAAATAATGGAAAATTTTAATGATAAAAAGAAATGTTTTACGACCAAGTCATTAGCAACCACAGGCAAAACCAAACCCAAATTCATTACTCATGTACAGCACACTCCCTCCAAATTTGTATTTTTATTTCTTTTCTTCTTCGACATGCACATGACAAATAGAACTGGCCACTCAAAAATCAATAAGTTCACCCCTTAGGGAAGCCAGCTCAGCTCGAAGACCTTCCAAGTCCATCACCTGGGCCCGGAGTGATTCCATGCCCGCAACCTTGGCCCGAAGGACCTCTACCTCAGCAACTTGGGCTTGAAGAACCTCAAGATTTGCATACACAAATGCCAACTCCTACGGAAGATCCAAGACGGTGGCTTCTTGTTAGAGATTAGCAACCCGAGCAAGGGAGTCCATGGCCTCGTCCATATGACAAACTAACGACCCATGAGACTTCCCGCGATTGTCAGTTTCACTCTTTGGGTCGGCTGAAAGGGGTGTTAAAACTAGAAGAGGCACCAAAGTGGATACCCCTTTGTCTACAACTTGATCAGAAGGACCAACATGCTCCGTTGGCTTGATTTGGCATGTGCCACTAGCGGTAGAGAATTAATGATGTCCATTATTTTCTCTACAATAATTGAGTTGATGTTACAACTGTTAATGAGAAGCCCGAATGTGAAAGAACCACAAAGTTACCAATCATTCGGTCTATTCAAGATGTACAGAAGCTCTTTGCGATGAGAGAAGTCAGACCACTGTGAAGATCTTTCTCGGTCAGTAGCAGAGGAGGACCATCCTCCTCTGGTGAGGCCTTAGTTTGCATAGCCTCATCGGCTAAGCAACAGAGTAGATCATCTGCCCTGGGAGGAGCATCACCTTGAGTGTTTGGAGCTGGAGGATGAAGAAAAGTAAATTCCATTTGCAAACTTGCATAACGGACCTCAAGGGTTTCCCCTCTTGAGATGGTAATTGGGCCGACGTTGACGAAGCAGTAGAGGGTCCAATACCTTTCCTCCCTTCTGACTCCTTGTCAAAAGTTGTAGTGAGTCAGATGATTCACCAGCATCTTCCACACAAGGTAGTTTTGTAGTTGGATGTTTAACTGGTTTTATCGATTTGACCGGCTTTTTTTCCCCGACCATTTTCTTTTCATCTTTTTTTCTCTTCTCAGTCGTTAACGTCTCTTTGCCCACCTTTTTCTTAATGAGTGGGGAGAACTGTCAAGTTTCCCTTTTATTTTGTCTCTTGTGGGGTAGGTTCTAGAAGTGGGAAGTCCATAGCCCTTTAGTAAGGCTTCCTCACTCACTGACTTTTTGGCACGACATATTGGTTCGCCTAAATGACTGACTCGCAAGAAGAAGAAGCGGGAAATGAGAATAAAGAAAAACACACTTTGCGCCCTTTTCATAGAAGAAAGGGGAACGAAAATCAAGAGTATAAGTTATGATGATATTTATCACTCATTATATGAACAATCATGTTTATTTAATTTTCTGATTCTTATGGAAGCTATAACTTTTAAAGAAGAGAATTGTGGAACTAATTATGTACAACAGAAATGTGTCTACATGAAATGCGAGGAGGTGATTGGAGACATAAAGAACATGAATTATTCAGCATACGATTGGTCGGTCTCATAGACTGGTCGAATGAAGAGAATGAATGACTCAATAAATACCGCACTGCCGCGTCAGCACTTATTTCCCAGTAACTACCATCATAATTCATAAAGATAAACAGTCGCCTAAGATGAAGTTCCATAGTATAGACAAATAGAACGAAGGTATGTTGCTTGTCTGATCACAGTGATTCACCCTATACCAGATGAAACAATCCTACCTAAGAATGATGTGTCTTCACATTTGGTCTCCATAGATGGGCGATCAAAGATCATTAAGCCGATCGAAGGATATTTGGTTAGTCGAATGAAATCCTAATCGACCAAAAGAATTCCAAGCAAACCAAATTGGGTTGTCATACTATGTTTAAGGCAATTACACAAATATAACAACGCTAGCAGCAGTTACGGGGTCATAATAAATATTATTCGATTACAAATATATAAATATAATGACTTATTAATTATAGTCCGTTCCCTTTTTAAATGTGAAGAACCATGTTATTTATCATATCCTACTTATGAACTATAAATAGGAAGAAAGATCATTTTCAAAAAAAAAGGCAACCATGAAACTTTTAATAACATAAGCAGTGTTCAAATCTTTTTTTTTTTTCTGAACTAATTTTTTATTCATTGGGCGTGATCAACGGGCAATTTAGTATCCAACACCTATGATTCTTCATATCAACATACATGCATTGTTCAAACCATTTGTTACTCATAAATTTATTTTAATTGCTCAAATTATAATAATACAATAGTTGCTAAATCTCGGGAAAGAGACCAAAAATGATTTCTCATAAAAAATGGAAGGCGACTAACTAGGCGAGAGTGCTCCTTTCACAAAAATAGGAGAATTATAGTGATTTTACACCAGCTTGAGATCAAAACTGTCCGTGTTAATTGATTCATGAGAAAAAAAGGGCTATTGATGAGGAAGATGGACCATATTAGGCTTAGAATGCTTGCATCATTCACCGACACCTTTTTAATATTTGATGATTGATTTCATTTTACACTTATTATTTGTTTCCTGGTCCCCAATAAAATGTTATAGATCCATTTCAGCCCTCTGTAGCTGCGACCATAAATTCTGAAAACTACATATCTTTTGAGCATAAATTTCAAGAAATTTTAGTATAGCGTAGCAGAACAAATTTGACAAATGAAATAATCGACAAGGAGAAACAAGTGCGAGGATTATCAGAAAGCCAAGATGGAAAAAGGCAACTTCTAAAGCAAGGGTCCCACTTCATTGTACTAAAGCCTCCACAAATCAAACATAGTTAAACACAAATTATATGAAGAACTTGGCTGATTTCTAGCATACTGCTCGTCATTGAGGACTCCGCATCGATCCTCACTTCATTTACCTTACGCTGCATTGCAGTCCATCAGACAGATTCACCTAGGAGGAAATTTCTGACATGGAGAAAGTTTGTTATTTATATGCCAAAAGTAACAGCAGTTGAACTCATTCCCCCACAACAGTAAATACAAAATACAAAAACCACCGACTCTTTTAACATGTCACGCGACACGATCAAAGCCATGAAAACCGACGCAGGTTGGATATAAACAAAAATGTACTAAAAAATGGAAATATACAAATTCAAAACCTCAAGTTATATTTAAAAGACTGATCCAATGTTAAAAAACCAAATAAATTGAGGAAAAAAGTTAAGCCACCGCCATAAAATATGAGGCATAAGTTGTCATCAGCTGACAAAAAATACACTAGAAAGATGACAAGATAAGGACGCTATAACAGCAATTAAAAGTCGAGCATCATCACGCCTCAACAACTATTGAAAAAACAGAGTATAGTCAACACACAAGACCACCACAAATAACTACTAAAAACACCAGCGGCGGCGGGCAATCTCACTTGTTACTCCCAAAGGGAAAAGAATTAAAAAAAAAAAAAAAGAATCACATTGAAGCCGCTTCAGCTAACTAAAATACATAGGTGGCTGCCCCGCAGATGGCGGAGCCGCTGCTTGACGAGCACCTGCTTGTGAGCCATAAGGGGGCATTTGCTGAGAAGCTTGAAGTAAACCAGCTGAAGTGGAAGGATGGGTTCCGGAGACGGAATATGGGGGTGCAGATGATGGCCCAAATGTTTGAGCACTGTACGCTCCAGGAATCTGGGGGTGGTTGTAACCACCAGGTTGAATCCCTTGCCGATTAGCATCCCACCCAGGCTGACCGATCAAACCTCCATCAGAAATGGCTGGAGTGCTATAGACTACTGATGATGCAGGTTGAGGAGCACTCAGCCAACCAGCAGAAGAAGTTTGAGGCATTGAAAGAATGCCTGCATCAGTAACTGTATAATCCCTGCTTTTATCACTGTGTGCCTGAGCAAGACAAATAAAAATCTGAATATTAAAGATAATGATAACGCATAATTAAAAAGCACCAGAAAGCATACTCGAGCGAGGAACATAATTCAAAATAATTGACCAAAACAACTTTTAATTTTCCAATAAATAGCACCAAAAGTTCTCTACTATTAAAAGCAACCTCTGAACTTAAGAGTTACTTTCCTTGCATTTATTTTGACACAAACATACTTATTTATACCTTTACATTGAGATCAGTATGACGAGAGTATGACAGATGAAGCTTACAATAGCCACCGTCATAGATGCAATGCCCCTCTAAAGCTTCTTTAGCAACTGCTGCAGTTGTCACGTCTAAAATAACGCAAGACAGAATCCATCAATATTTGTTATAAGCCAAAAAAAAAAAAAAAAACTAGTCGAAACTTCTAAAAAATCATTCTTTTTAAATAGAACTACAGAGAGTAGGAACAACAATGGATAACCAATTTCTTATGAAAACTACTAGAAAATCAGCATTCACGTTGAGGGGAAATTTTCATAAAAGGAAAAGAACAAATGATTTCTCTCTCCTCTGCAATTAGGCATTTCTTTGCTATCAAAAAGTTTCGAGTAGTAATTGTTAGAACGACTGTTATACTCATCCTAAATCTGGACATATAATGACATTTCTAACCACGCGTTGCGTTTCTCAAATAGCACTTTCTACAAATTCTTTGGTTAACCAACTCAAGCCTCGTGCGGTCTTCATCAAATCCAGATTGACATCTAATAATAAATTACTTGAGGCTAATCTGCTTCAATGTTTGGACCTCTGGGAGTAACTATTTTGCCAGGATTGATATTAAAAAGCTTTTACTGCAGTAGCTCCTATCTCAATCCACTGGATTATTGTTTCCAGATACACCTTTAATTGAACCCGAGCCAAAATTTTTGGCACTTCCGAACAGTTGATGCTGGAATAAATTTGGTTCTCATCTTCATAGCTAAAGTGGTGGCTTATTGCATTTAAACCTCGTATAGCTATAGGTTTTGGTATTTCATTTGTTTTGCAATTCTTTGTCTCTGAAGCTTGTTTCATTTTGTAATTCTATTACCTTTTGCATTTATTATTTGAGTCTTACCTCTAAATATTCTAAGAAAAAAATCTAGCTCCAAATGAATCACAACAAAAAGAATCCAATCCCTTCCAATCGCATTTGGAGTAACAAACAAAATTGGCATTAGACACACAAAAAAGGAAATCACACGCCTAGAAATGCCCTATAGATTATCGCAAAATGCTACGTAAGGTAATAAAACGTGCACTATAACAGTATATTGGAGAATTTAATAAATGCAAATGCAAATTAATACTTAAAATGTGTCCTTGATAAGAAAGCAAAACAAAAAGAAAACAAAAGACACTTCCAAACCTTTTCTCAGTAAAATAAAGAGCAATGAGAAAGATAAAGAAAATTCCCACAGAAAAGGGATTAAATTGAAATCCTGCATACCAGGGTACTGAACTAAGGCCTGCATGCCACCATTCTTCTCAAATATTGCAATTTTTTGGACTCTACCAAATGCCGAAAACACCTGTAACAATTTTGGCAAAAAGGGAACAAGAAAAACTTGATGCATTGAGCAAAATTTTCTTGTAGACCACAAATGATAATACTATCATAAGCTTACGGTATGAAGAACATCAACTGTGACAGCATATTGCATATTCTCAATGGAAGCAAGAAGAACATTACTTTCAGGTTCCTTTTTCTTTCCATCAACACCAGCGGTAGGCTGCATAAGAAATTTCCTTAAGAGTGCTAAAAACTCAACATAAAAAGGTGTATCAGTGATGTAAGAGGGGCAAACCTGTAAAGTGCCCTCAATTGCAGAAGGATTCACGGGAAGATATGGGTTTGTGTAATCTCTACGAGGGAAACCAAATATGTATGGTTATAAAAAAATGATAAAAAAAGGAGGCAATTAGTGTGCAGTGATACAATCTATAATGCCAATGAATTATTAATTCTGAAAAAATTGCAGCAAAAAGATTCAGTATCTACCAAAAACCAGCCAGATCTACAATAAATCCGCTCACTAACTGCATGAAAATAAAAATTGGCAGAAAAACATGATTGCTGGCAGTATAACCTAGACCTTAAATCAAAATACAAACATTAAGCAAGAATATCAAGATTTAATAGATTTGACAAACATGTTTTATGAAACATAATAAAGAGACAAACAAACATATAGATTACATGAAATGTACTAAAAAACTATAACATGCATACATACATACCATTATTATATTTGTACTTAAGCATGAAACAAGCACAAACATCTCTGCATGAATGAGACTAATATAATAAAACAAAATTTTGACTAATATTGAGATAAGACATTCAATATATGGCTACATTATTATCATTAAATAGGAGGGCGAAATAGAATGCTAAAAGAATATGTAACCATGTTCTGCAGCATTGGCTATTGAAACAGAATTTTTAAAACCCAAAAAGATCAATCTCAAACCCTTTTTCTCAGATATATGTATAGCTCCAACTCATTCAATTCATAAGAGCCAAGTCGCATGAACTCACATGTGCCATGATAAGCAAGTTGAATGGAACTTGCCTTGGTCATATTAAGCTAAACTACAAGGAAGTCGCCTGGGTAATGTGAACCAAGTCACATGCCAGAATTTAAGTCAAAGATCTCACAATCCAAAAACCAACCACTAAATCCTCAAGCAAGTCGCCGTCCGGAAGTTTTAAAGAGCAGCTCACTTGAACATCTCATAGAAATTAAAAATTTTTACAATAGACAATTTAACAACTCATCTTCACGGAGAAACTTCAAGTTGATTGTGCAACTATATATGCATGGCCATATGCCTCTCCCACTCTCTCAATTCAGTCAAATTAAAAGATCCTACTCAGAACAATCTTTTAGTGACTTAGCCTGATTAAAATCAGTTTCACATCCCTAATCCTATAGTCGGGCTCAAACAATCCCCAGCAGAAAATCTTGGACAGAACATTCTTTTAAATACACCAAGTATGGAGGTAGTGCAAACTAGAACACAATGGCAGCCAAGGCTGTGACTAAACTCCCCACAGGGTAGTGACAACTCCTCTAGGCAGTTGCATCGAATAGAAAACCATCCAACCAGAGATGTACAAAATGATCAGATAAGTTCAACAATCTGCTTCCTAGCCACCTCCCAAAAAATCCAACCACCTCACCAAAACACCGCCGACAATTGATCAACGCCCAGCTTCTCAGATTCCTGATACTCGTCTTGCTACCAAGGCAATTTTGTTGCCTTCTCACTATATGAGAAATATTTGAGTTGTTTAGCCATCAAATGCTTTCTATTTAGAGACCATAGAAGAGAGATTGCACAGCATTTAAACATACAACTATGAGCTCGTACAAAGGTGGGTCAAATTTGCCTAGCCACTATTTTGATTCCATTCTCCATCCTTCAAGAAGTTGATCACCCAAATTGGAAGTGCGAAAAAAAATTATTGAAAAACTTACATTTCCTACTAAACATGAGGCAAGCGCTAATTCACATGCTTCCATGGAAGGGTTGTCAAAACGGCTCGTTGTTCACGAACAGCTAGAATTCGACTCGTTATGTAGCTTGTGTTCCATTCATTCGCTAAACAAACAAGTCGAACGCAAAAAAAAAAAAAAATTGCGCTTGATATATAAACGAGTCGAACACAAATAAAGTTTTGTTCGTTCGAGTTCGGCTCATTTTGGCTCAATAAATTATATATTTATATAAATACATAATAGATGAATATTATTTTAAAACCAATTAAAAAGATAACTATAATTCAAATAGCTACAATTCAAATTGATGACAATTATATATATGCAATTAAAAAGATAACTACAATTTATATATATACATAATTGATGAATACAAGGCTACACAGATTTATAATCAATTAAAATTATTAATTAAAAAATAGAATAAATATATATTAATTTATATTTGAATGAATATTTTAATATTAATAATAAGATTTAAATCTCGCCCCAACCCTTAAACATCCCACGACTGCGTTACTAGTTATCAAAACGGCTTGTTGTTCAAAAACAGCTTGTGTTCGGCTCTTTCACAGACAAATTTTTTTAGCTAGAAATATAAGCGAGTCGAACACAAACAGTAGTACTTTTTAACGAGCCAAACACGAACCAAGCCTAAACTCGCTCAAGCTTGGCTCGTTTACACCCCTATTCCATGGTGCACTGCCAAGCATACAGGATCTCAAGTCAACTGTTACACAAGTTGCATTCACAAAAGACCTGTGAAAGGGACCTTTCTAATACATGCTCAGGATTAGTTACCTCGATCATTAGCAATTTTTTTCCGAACTAGCCTATAGTCACATCAATACTGAAAAATACAACCAATCTCATCTCGTAAAATTTTCAATCAAAAATTGCTTGAGGTGCATTGTGTACATCCTTGTGACTGACATAACAAATAGTGTGACTAGATAAACAAGTTGGTTAAGCAAGACCTGCAAATCCTGCAACAGCTACAAAACTGTCAATCACCTTCTTTGATATTGAGCAAGCAGCTACCAAGAAACCCTTCAACGATTGCTTAATTGTTCCTACAATGATTGTTATATTCAAGATAGTTTTCATAGGTTGACAAGAGTTCAATAAATATATTTAAAAATGTATTTTCGAACAAATGTGTATTGAACTAGCAAGTTGTTGCTAAATGAGGGAGGACTTCAACTTTTCGGATAAGCACTCCAGAACCAAAAGGAATCATCACGATGCCATTCACTTGGGGAAAATGTGACTTTATATTCGCCATTACGATAGATTTCATAATCGTCTATGCGTTGAAATCCTACAATGGTATCATTGAGCGACCACATTTAATTGTATTTAAAGCAATTGTCACAAAAAAAAAAAACTAAATAGCCATCAAATTCTCAGCCTAACGCCAGTAAAATAAGACAGATTCCTTATGGTTATCAGATCTGTATAAAATGAAGACCTCCAATTGAGTAAGGTGCTTGCAGTAAAACAAATGACATGGTTTAAAAACTCAAAGATTAATAGCACAAGGAGGATCTCTTTTGACTTACTGCAATCAAATAGAACATATCCGCGTGGTCAATAACCATGTTTGTGGTTGATATCAATGCCAACATCAACTAGTCTAAGCAATTTATTAAGCAACGCAAGCAACAAGTGACAATAGCCATGACGGGCTTGTTCATGTTATCCAAAATAACTTACAGGCCTGCTTCGTCCAAGAATGTGGCTAAGTCACAAATGTTGAAAGAAAAGTAAAAGTTGTGTGTTGACTTCACTAACTCGAATTAAGATTTATTAAAAAAAAATTATCCATTATTTAGGATAAGCATCGATTGACCATGAAGTTATTGATAACTCATTAACCTCGACACCTTCTGAAGGTTATTTACAATATTTAGATGCATCTTTTTGTCTATAACAAAAACAATTTCGTAACAGATGGCGGTTTATACTTCTCCAAAATCATATCATTTAGACTAAGAATGCTAAGATGACTTATTAGCATCTGACAGATATCACTTTAAAGAGCCAAAGGGATAGGACATTGACATTTACATTGGCGATCTACTTGTAAAAATCAAATCCCCATAGTAACACATCAAAAACTTCAATGAAGAACTTTCTACCCATTGAAGGTACGCACGATCCTTAACCTTCGATTTTTAAGCTACAAGGCATCGTCCAAATAAAATAAAGGTAAAGTAAAGACTTCATTAACATGTTGCAGCCAGAAATAGCTAACAAGTTCCAACAACTCATTAACATGTTGGCGACAAAAAATAGCCCAAGGAACTCCAACAACTTATTGGGTGAATTGAGAGGCTTAACCTCATTGTCTCAAGATTAGATACCAAATGTTTATTATTTTTGAAATGCATGCATGCAAAGATAGGCAACAAGAAATAAGACATTGAAATCTACCAAGAGAGAAGAGAAAAGAGAGGAAGTTCTATTTTCAATTCATCAATCAATTTAATAAGCCATGAATCACTATTTATAAAAATAAGAGTTACAAAAAATCAGATCAACTATTTAACATCAAATCTAACAATATCAAAACTCAAATTTAAAAGTATCAAAAAGAGCAATTAATGATATTTTTAATCAAAATAAGTCCAAAGAGCATAAAAGAAGCAACAAAATGAATTGTAAAATATTCAAACCTAATTTATTGCATTGAATTAATCCCCTAAGCCTGATAAACTCTTCTCTTAAATAAATACATGTCAATGGTATAATTATTTATGTTAGCATCTTTAAAACATATATAGATAATTGAATGATTCCTTAACTGCAAAATCTAGAATCTACAAGCAATATTTTGCCCAATCATTCTTGGATCTCAATCATGTCCAAAACAATTGCCCCTATATGGATTTTCATGAACTTCAAGAAATGATTCAATTTTAAAATTACTGCAACTCCACAATCAAATCATTGTGTTTGTTATGCATGTACCATAACCCTATTTAACATTGTACAATAAAAGGGCCATCTTGATGCTCGCCTCAATGCTTTTACAAAGAAACCACAATAAGGTTTATGCCTCATTGTCCAAAAATGAGTACGCTTTCCTCGAGTTGATCTTTCCCTCAAAAAAAGCTTCAAAATTTTTAAGGCTATCCACAATTTTTTAAAACAAAATTAAAAGTAAAATTAATATATTTCAGCTATTAGCATTCACACCTCACACGCTAAATACGACAACAACAAGCTTTTATCCCTTCAAGAGGGCCCAGTTACATGAATCATTTTTCTCCACTGCGTCCTATGGAGTGTCATATTTTTCATTTAATTCAAAAAAATTAAGATCATTTTTTATACAACATGCCCTAGACTTTTTAG